CCGGACCTCAAAAGGGCCTGCCACAATTAAGCACCTGCTGGCTGCTTGGCGCCAGATTCTTAAAGTGGCAGGCACAAACAGTGCCCTGCCACAGGGCCGTATTCAATTCGGATTCGGCCCAAATTGGGGACCGTGATTGAATTCATTGATTTGGATTACTGTCCCTGATTTAATTCAGCCGAATCTGAAGATTTGATGCAGATTCAGAGAATCGGCAATTCGGCCATAGACACAGCTTTAAATGTTTTTTCTCCATACCTCGAGGTACCAGGTGCGGCTTGTGAATGCTGCAATGCTGGGGCAGATGTAGTGTCCCACAGAAGTGTGGCCCCCCCTTCCTGTGTGCTTGCAGTGAACCCAGAACTAGACTTCCAGGTCTGCCACTGAACATGCTGAGGGGCCCCCTATGGCACCCTGGCTCAAAGCTTGGCCACAGGGGGACCCCAGGTGCCCCCCCAAACCCAGGAGGCACCAGTCACCGAGCTGAGGGTGTGTAGGGGGGCCCCCCAGTGTGCTCCCAAGTGGACCAGAAGTGCTTCTGGTCCACTTCTGGATCTGCTGCCGAATGCACTGGGAAGTCCCCCATGCTCCTGTGGGACACTGCATCTGCCCCACCATTGCAACATTCATGAGCCACCTGGTACCTTGAGGAATGTAGAAAAAACATTTAAAGCTGTGTCTATGTCTGAATCGCAGAATCTTGCTAAATCTCTCCAAATCGATTTAGAGGGTTCCAATTTGATTTGGAGAGATTAAAGGGTCTCCTGATGCAATTCGTATTCAGAGATTTGGCTATCGAGTTGGCCAAATCTCCACTGAATTGAATCAGGGATGGAAGCTTCACACAGCCCTCATGCAGCTTAGGCTTTGTTTGGGTCATCAAGCCATTGAGGTGAATGTGGCAGATTATGAAGAGAGGAAGAAAAAGATCCAGCAGTCAAAATGAGAACAGAATGATGGTGGATGGGATAGAAAGTTAAGGGGACAGAGAAGAAGTAGATACAGTGTTTTTCATAAGAGAAGGGAAAAAAGGTGAGGGACAGAGATGCAGGTTGTAGAAGCAGGGGATAAGAAGCCCTCTGCACTGTCTGATCCCAGATGGGGAGTGTGAGTGAGAGGCTTCAGTAAGAGACAGCAGCTGCAGAAACAATGTCAGGAGTTGGAGGAACTGAGAAAATAAGGGCTCAGGATGGCTGTGATCTATTTAGAGATGGAATAAGCATTTTAGAGACAGCAAGGGAAGGGGAGGATTGGGGTGGATGTGACGATAGAAATAGTGGCAGAAAAAAGGTAAAGGTGGTAGCAATACCTCAGCTAGTCAAATGCTAATTCTGCAGCTTAAAATCACTGACACTCTATAAAGTAAAACTTTGAAAAGAAATAAAACATATGTCAAGGCATTTTGGATAGAGAAACACACCCATAGAAGACATTAAGAGTAGTTTAGTATAATACTTATTTTCAATGTATACACATCCCTTACAGCCTGTGTCACATGTAAGTTGTCCTTCATTCTGGCTGAATTAAGCTCCTTTTTACAGTTAAATATCTAAAATAATAGAAGCCAACATCCAACATCTATAGCACTGGCCACATGAGATATTGGAGCAAGATCTAACTAGGGTGAATGATTTTCTCAGGTAATGGCCTAAAAATGTTGGTAGCTGTGTAAATCTGCATATGTCAACAGAAAAAAGAAAGCCAGAATAGCAATTGTAGTGCTATTCAAAGACGATACTAGAAGACTGAACTTTTCTTAGAGAGACTGCTGTCTATAGGCCAACTTGGAATTGTGAGCAAGGAAATTGCTGGGTTGTGCTGTGACTCATGGTCATTGTGAAGGCACAGTACTCTGTGTGGTGCTTGGGTTCCCATAAGGATCTGCAGAGTTTGTAGAAAGGTCTCATAGCTCATTCCACAGGTAGCCACTCTTGACTTAATGACTAAGAAGAAACTCCATCGGGGTCCAGTAGCATAACTGATGGGGGCGACCAGGGCAGCAGCCCTAGTCACTGCCTTTGTGGTGGGGGGCTTAAAAGTAGCCATTGCTGCAGCAGTAGGTGATCGTACAGCCATTATCAACACTGTCCCATGTCCCACATGGCTGCCTAGGTTCCCCCATTGGATTCTCCTTCCAAAGATTTTACCATGGGGGAGGTTAAGGTGGGTGTACTGGGGACAGCGAGAGAAGGGTCCGGGAAACCGGGCTCGTGGGACCTGATGCGGGGAAAAACAGTAAAATAAAGAAAGAAACACAAAATAGTTACTTACCTGCAGAAGGAGTGGTGCTAGAAGATCCAAAAGAAAAGCCCACGCAGTTTACAAGCCACACTTTTATGCAATTAAGGCTGTTGGGTGACATCACAAGGATGCACTGGCTGGCAGAAATAAAAACGGCTGCTGGCAGTAGGGAAAAGAGAGCCAGTGAGGAGGCAGAGGCTTTCCGCGCTGGTGGTAGGTGGTTCCGGCGTGAATTTGAAATGCCCGAGCGATGGGCAGCTAGAGGATCATTGGGAGCTCCTCATACGGGGGTTACTGATATCGAGCCCCAGGAGGGGCGGGAGGAACTTCCCCCAGTGCTGCCGAGGAGATGCATTAAGGGAAGTGCCGAGCAGCGGCGCAACCAGGACGATGAGCCCAAGGGAGAGGCTGAAGCTAACCTGGGGAAGCAAGGGTGTCCCCACTTGACCATTCCCAGGTCGAGGAGCTGGGCTAGGGGTGGAGAAGAGAGGGGAGCCCTGCGGGACTGGTGTTGGGGGAGCACTGCCAAATTCAGGCAGGAAGGCCTGACCAGTAGGACACTGGATAGGGGGACCTTCTGGGTCCTTCCTTTTGGTTTTTTCTTTTTTCATTTTATTTCTTTACCCCTGCTCAATGGGGGCACCTTTGGACTCCAAGAGGAGAGCCGACCGGCTCCAGGGGATTGCAGGCCTAGAGCCCAGGCCAGCTAATTATCCGTCCCCAAGGATAGAGGGGGATGTGTCTGGGCACAAGGAATATCTGTACTGGAGAGGCTGTCATGTCAAGATCTGGCACCCCACCAGAGCTTGGCGTAAGGCTAAGGTGTAGGGGAGATGGAACCCCACAAACATCCTACAAGCGGTGAGGTCATCCCTGAGGGGAACTTTGAGGTTGAACCCCACACTGATATAACATTCAAAGACGTGGCAGGTGAGTTCAGGGAAGGCCAGAGGAACAACCAAAGCCCACTTCAGGGAACCAAGGTGGCACGTGAGCCCACCCTCTACCGCCCGGACCAAGGTGGCACGTGAGTGGGCGTTTGAAGCCAGATGGGTGCAGTGGGCATAAGACTTTGTCCTGTACATTTTTACTCACGTGAGTAAGTCGCACTTAACATGAGTTGCATTAACTATAATAGAAATGCTTCTTCAATTAGAATCTTTCAGAATCAGGCCAAAGAGGCAATTAAGGTGGCATTCTATTTCTTTTTGCTCACATAAATGGCAAGTTGTTAGTCATCTTAAGTGACCATTCTGTTTCCCAGCAGTGTGGACATGAACATAGACATGTGCAGTACATATGCACAGACTGAGCATGTGCAATAGACTACACACTGGCTGTGTACATGCCCAGTTATAAGCCCCCTTGAGGATATAATCCAGTGTTCACAATCCAAAAAATTAAGCAACCCACAAACTTCCTATTACAGTGTTCCAACCACCACACAACAGATTAGGAGGTATTATCTGGGACCTTTTCTGGTGTCCCCTGGACAGCTAAGAGAGGAGATATGTAGGTCCATGTGGAAGAGAGCAAGCTAAAGGATGTGCAGCTACATGAGATGGCTGATGGGGGTCTCTCAGTGAGGGAAATATTCCACACTGTCCACCACCCATTTTTTCCAATGACTATTCAACACAGAAGACAATGTTTCAACTTCAGAATGAATTCCAGAGAAGGACTTGGATAATGCCTGACCTGTGGCAATGAGGTTGGAGAACTGTGTTAGGAAGTCAGATATTTTCTGACTGGCTTAAACACCCTCCAGACAAGAGAGGCTTTGAATGGAATCTGTAAGTATTTTACTGACTTTTTTTTTTTTTTTTTTTTTTTTACTGACATGTTTTTACTGACAGATTGTAAGCAGGATTTCTTGCTGCCATGCAAGTGGACTTTGCCCCCTTAAGAATCCTTCAGACAGTCCAAACAATAGTCCAGGCTTAATCGCGTGCAGCCTCACCATCCGGCTTTGTTTTCTTGAGAGCCCCTCAGCCAATCTGCATATTACAAATAATACTCCTTGTCCCAAACAAACAAATAAATGAGTAAAGCAAACGTTTCTTCAGGCAACAGGGGAAGGCCTTTTAAGTCTTGTTCTTCCTAGACGTGAGTACCTGTTTCCTGCCCATAGACTGCTCCTTCCTCAGCTCAAGCTTCTTACCCTCTCTCCTCTTGGGGTTTAAACTGCCAGCTAATCACCCACAGCTGGGCCCCAGGACTGGCTGCTCCACTTAAAGGGCCAGACCACCCTGTTACATGGATTTTTTTTATACAAAGTTTCCCTCGCTTTATACTGTATGTGCATTCCTGGAAAACAGTGCATAACTCAAATTCACAAAAAAGGGAACCCACTTTACAATGTAACAAATAGGGATACATCTCAAGACCTCAACTGTACTGACCTCCAGATTTCTTTTTATCACTTTTAGAAGACAATTTTGGTACTCGCCAACAGCAGACAGTACACACAAGCACAGGGCATTACCATGATGGCAACTACAGAAACACATCCCACAGACAACAGGTGAGGAGCACAGATCCACACGAGACTATATTTTGATGCACATCATTCCTACAATGCACCGCACAAAGCAGCTGACTGTGGGCTTCTATCACACCGATCCCATAGGAGTGAATTTACCTCACATATAATGAATTTTTGGTATAAAAGGGTCATTGCATGAGAGCGAATTCACCATAC